AAATTTTAAGATTTTATTTGTCAGAGAGAGAGCACAAGCGGGGGAGTAGCTGGCAGAGGGAGAAGCAGACTCTCCACTGAGCAAGGAGCCCAATGCAGGACTCAATCCCAGGACCCTGGGATCACGACGTGAGCCAAAGCCAGACGCTTAACCGATTGAGCCACCCAGGTGTCCCTACTTTTATACTTATTAAAAATATATAATATTTATTTATTTATTTTAGAGAGAGAGCACATGGGGTGGAGAGGGGGGTGGCCAGAGGGAGAGGGAGAGAATCTCAGACTCCCTGCTGAGCATGGGGCTCAGTCTGACATGGGGCTCGATCTCACAACCCTGAGATCATGACCTGAGCCAAAACCAAGAGTCAGACTCCTAACTGACTGAGCCACTCAGGCACCACTTTTACTTTACTTTTAAAATGTTCTAAGCCTTAGACAAGTTAGAAAACATGTATAAACACAGCAACAGGGTTTCTACTTGACCATTTTAAAAATCATCTCATTTCCTACTCTATCCATCCAAGTAATTACTTAGATCATTTTATCCAAGCCACTAAGATATAAACGGTTGATAGTGTTTCCTGACTGGTTACAACTCAAGCTGGTTGTTCTCCAAGTAGACAAAAATCCCTTAGGTATGTTAATTTTACATTTTGCTTTAGAACGTGTATATTTTAAGTATACAGGCTGGAATTATATATAAAATACGCTTCCTTTCTGTCCTAAAGAGAGTATTTTGTGCCAAACAGATCCTGACCTAGAGTACGACTATGGCTCTTCCCATGAATTTCTTCTGCTGTTTTAAAATTATACATTGATTCCAGCAATGGCAGACTAAGTAATTTAGGCCAAACCTCCTGCTGAGGCAACGAGAAAAGCTGGACAATTTTTAAAATCTGCCTGAATGCATCAGAGAACTAGCAGGATAGTGAAAAAGTATAAGGCCAAAATCTACACAGAAATTCAGAGATATGAGACCAACATTTAGGCCACCTTTTCCCTAAGGGCATTTGCCAATTCAGAAAGAGATGAGAGGCTGAACACAGCTTCTGACAAAAGTAGGACAGCTCTCACAGGGGCTATAGCCTACCTTCAAAGCCTTTTAATCCCTGAAATTGTCTTTAGGTGATACTGTATTACTACAAGCACCTTGCAGAAGCACTCCCTAGAGTAACCTTTCTCAATCAGGTTTCCTTATATGAACTACAAAGAATTATTTGAGTGACTATTTTTCAATTCTCACATAACTAGTGCCATTCTCGTTGTAGTTCATTTATTACATACAACAGATGCTTTAAGGCTTGGATTGCCAGATTTAGCAAATAAAAATAAATACCCAGTTGAATCTAAGTTTCAGATAAACAACATAATTTTTTAGTGTAAGTATTTCCCATGCAATATTTGGGATGTACTTTTACCAATTTCATTGTTTACCTAAAACCCAAATGTTGTAACTGAATGTCCTGTATTTTATGTGGCAACCCTTAGGGCTTTGGGGATTTAATTCTCTTGTAAAATTAAGACTTTTTAGAGGAACAGAACACTATTCTAGGCCTCAAGTTATTTCTACAATTTTTCAAATACAAATTCCAACACACGATCAAAAATAATCAGAGACAAAATTACTTAAAAGAGAACTATAAGAAACAACAGGCAATAGACTCACAGGGGATGTTACATATAGTGAACTTACATAGATACATGCCTTAAAACAGTGATGTTTACTATGTTCAAGGAGATGAAAGACAAGATTGAGAATTTTGGCAAAAAAAATCTGTAAAAGGATATAACATGTCAAAGAGTCAAAAAGCTTCATAAAATATGAGTGAACCTTTAAAGTGGAAAGGAGTTTAGTAAGCAGACAAGGGAGAAGACAAATGTGAGAAGAGCAAGGACAGAAAGAGTAAAGGCAAAGGCATTCAGATGCAAAGTATGATTCTTA